ATTGATATACAATCGAATTGTTTGGCGTTGCAAACGTGCAACATAATCATGACTTTCGAACATTATCACTTTCTTTTTATTAATTTTAGAAGGTGATTTATCACGTTTTTGAAGTAATATTTTGCAAAGTGTCAACAAATGTGTTTTTGCCAAAATCTAAATTTTATTATAGATTGCGGTAGAATACCCAGCCAGTAAAAATGCTTGGAAGATTTTTGGTTAAGTCGATAAGCCTCTTAGCAATTGGCGTGGTAGTTTTAGGACTAAAGCTAAAAAAACGCAGATTTTATTGTTTTTTTCGGCAGAATGTCCCTTTGTTAAAAACGTTTTTAACGCAACTTTCTTTTGTAGGAGAATAAAGTCTACTTGTGAAGTTAACGCAAATGCGTATTCAACAAATTATAACAAAAAATTCGCTCCACCTTTTGCTAAAAAGTAAACAAAAGATTTGTGTACATTTTTTAGCGCATATTTTCAAACACGCAAAATTTTGAATTGTTTCACTTTTGAAGACCGTGTGCGATATGACAGGAGATCCCAATAATGATAAGAATAATCATACCATCTTAATAATATTACCTACCGTTCTTTAACTTATTGTTATCATCCTATGGAAAATATTTCAGAATCAAGATTTCTCAAATACCTTCCGGTACACGTATTGTAATATCTCTTTTTTTATTAATTGAATAGAGTTAAGTTTTCTAAAACAGGTCACCACTCCTTCTCAAAATATTTTCGACTTTAGCCTTCTTTAAACTCTTTAATTTGATATTTCATAATATTTCATATATTTTCCAATTTAACCTTTTTGGAAGGTTGCCACCTGTTAGAAAATTTTATTCTAATTTAATTGCAGATATAAATTTGATATTGCTATATGGGTATTAAACTAAACAGCTTTAGGAACATTTACTGCCGAAAATATTTTTGGAGCGGATTTCTACCGTTTTTGAAAAATTTAATTCAGTTGGGGTTAGGGTGATAAAATAAGGTAAATATTAAATTAGTACCCCTTAGAAGAATGTGTGCGATATGTATACACGAGATATGAGATTACAAATTAAATTTCCAGGAGAAAACTGATACTTAACTTACTTTCTAAATACCTTCGAAAATACACACATTCATAGCAAATAAAGCATGCTTCATGAATCGAAAATTTGTTTGAAAATCTCATTTTATAAGACTCCTCAAATCTGTGTTTTTTTTATGACGAGGCCTTATTGGTTTTGGGAGGGAGTAACAACACTAAAACATTTTTAAGATGCAGTCAAGCACACTGGGTATTTGCCAGTTTTTTTTCTAAAAATATAGTTCACTCTAAAAAAACCATAAAAATCAAGAACATCAACATCAATAAAGTTTAATCACATCAGAATTCAAAAAAAAAAACAATAAAATTACGAAAAATCAATGGTAATTTGTAGCTACTTCAAATTTGAACTTTATTTTACTAGAATTTAATGGGCTCTAACGCTGCATACTCAGAAATTTTCTTAAAATCTAAATAAAAAGTATGAAAATTTGAGGAAATTTTGTTGAATTTTTTTATGTTTTTTTTTATAAAATTAATTATAATATTGACATAAAAAGAGTAACAAAAATTAAACAATAAAAAAATTTACAGTCAAAACTTTACTTCTCTTGCTTCTACTTTATCTCGCGTGGTTTGCAAATCATGCTCCATCGAATTTGAATATCATTATCAACAAGTGGTATTGGCGTAAGGTAGGTCCGGGCATAACTCACACGACTAATATATTGATAGAAATAAGCAATAAGCAAAGCAAGTTAGCGATAGTAATGCAACAACAATAAAACCAAAGACGAAATAAAAGAAAAATTAAAAAAAAAAAACAGTTAACAAATATTCAGCAATAATTCGTGTGCAAATATCCCAAAGGTAGGCCAGAAGCACCAGAAATCACTTTCACTTGTTGGCTGGCCAACTTTGGCGCATATTTGACGCGATGGATGTCTTGAGTATGCTTCGTTGTTGTTTTGTTATCTTTTCGTTTTTTACTTTAGTGGCTTCTCCCTTTTTTTTTTGTGAATTTGCATTACATGAACACTCTTCGTCATTTGAATAGTGCAACTTTTTTATTCCTTGGTGTTTATAGTTTTCCTCTTGTTTATTTAACGCACATTAATATTTTATAAAAATATAGCATATCCTATGTGTAAATGCGATTTAAAACATTTTAAAAAATCAATGCTATTTTACAGCAACTTGAAACTTTCTCTTTATTGCACTAGAGTTGAATGGGCTACAAAACTGCATACCCGAAATTTTTCTAAGCGTATTATTCACTTATGCAAAGCAGTTCAACAGGATAACACAACCATTTTCTGGCATTTTTTTATTTGTATAAAATTTTAAAATCGTATGTAAACATTAAAATGTGCTATAATATTATAAAAAAAAATCAATAAAAATAAATAAACAAATGGAAAACTTTAAATACTAAGGATTAAAAGTGTGTGCTATTCATATGACGAGGAGTGTATGTATGTATATGTATTTATAAGTATGTATTTATAAGTAAATCGTTGCTTCCGCGATGATTACTTGCTTGTTTTGGTTTGCTTGCTGGCCTTACTTTTTTCTCTGCTTCTTCTTGTCTTTGCTTTGGACTACGAGTGCCAAGGCGCGTTTAAAGCGATAAGCCGAAATAGTAAAAATATAAAAGCAAGTAAAAGTCGAAAACCAGCCGTTGGTTGGTAATAACCACACAAAAATATACACGCCACTTGGCCTGCAATAAATATTGGTCAATTGGCTGTTGTAGCTAGCGTTGCCGGGTTGACGTTTTTAACGTCATTTGGATGTTTTTTGTATCCTGTTGACGTTTGGATGTTTTTTGTGTAAAAAATGACGTTTTTTAACTTCCCAGTAAATTTTCTCTGTTACTAAATCTTGTAAGTAGAACTGATTTGGTATTATTTTCTTAATAAATCTTTACAAGCTTTGTTTTTTGCAGCAGCAGCTTGAAAAAATATTTATTCTTTGGACACAGATGACTTAACCCATATTAAAGCGCATAAAAAAAATGACACAAATGACACGCATGGGGCCCCTTATTGAAAATGTAATGAACGTAAAAATGCTGAAATATTGCTATGTTCCTTCTTAACAGAACGCAATTGAGCATTTTCGACAACCGACCACTTAACCAAATGTTTACAAGAAAAAATAAATAAAAATTAAAAATCAACGCGATTCTTTAGCACCTTAAAACTTGCACTTTATTGCCTTGCAATTTAATGGGCTATCAATCTGCACACTCAAAAAAATTCTAAAAAATCTGAATAAAAAGTTGAAAATCCAGCTGAAATTTTTCAGATTTTTTATAATTTTTGTACAAAGTTTGAAATGTGGATTTATATTTTGTTTGTCATATAATGATCTAGGCTTCTATGGGAAATTAATAAACATTAAATAAACAAAAAAGAAACAGCCAAAATCGATGACTTTATCAGCTGATCACAAGTGTATGTATAAAATGATTTTTATATTTATGATCTCAAACCAGTTTAGAATGAATTTTAAATGTGACAGAGCAAATGACATTTTAATATACCTTACGTACATATGTACATTTGTATGCAATAAAGTTTAATAAGAGCAATTCTTTGTGCATACGTTTGAAAAAGACGTTTTTGGGTAGGAAATGACGTTTTTTCAGACCAAGAGGGACGTTTTCTCATGATGAAGGCCTGGCAACACTGGTTGTAGCCGTTCGAGTGTGTGCACCTCACTCGCCGCATACTTGAGCTCTCCGCTGCACGCTCGCCGCCATTTGACGTCCTTCTGGCTTGAGTGCTTATCATAAACGTGGCTTGTATGTTGTTGCTAGATCTTTTGGGTTTTGGTTTTTGGGGAATTTTGGCGCAAAATCACGCTGGCCTCTTTTGCTTTGCTTACATGCCAAACGGGTTTTCTTGCGCCAGCTGACTGCAGCTTTTCGGCGCTTTTGGCCAACAAACTATCAGGCACTACAACTACCGCATGCGTTGTTGTAGTCAGTTATAGTCAGACAGCTTGCACAACATTTTTCGTGCTACTTTTTTGCTGCCGCCCTCCATCCACTTGCAGCTCGTAATTTGGTTTATTTTTTGGTTATTTATTTATTTATACATTTTGGGTTTTTCGCTTAAGTCTTTCATTTTAATTTTGTATGTTTGTAGGTATTTTACTTTGTCACACCTTTGTCTTGCATTTATGGCTGCCTGCTTGCCGGCGTGCGCTTAGCTCTACTCACATCAAAGTCAGTCAGTCAGTTGGCTAGTCCAAGACAAGTCGCGCGCTTCGCAAATTTTTAGCTTCATACCACAAACGCTCCTCAATTCGTTGCAATTCTTTTGAAAGTCACTTTCATTCGCTGCTCTCTTTGCGAATTGTCGCGCGGTTTACTGAATTTACAACAAATCCAAATCAAAGAGGCAAACCGACGATAGCCAGACGCGGAAGTGTATCACGTTGCCTTCGCTTGTTTCGTTTTGTGCCAGTGGTATATAAACCCAGTGCCACTTTGTGGTTGTGTATAATTGTTGTGAATTTTTCTATTGCTGCGGAAGTGCATTGGTTTAATTGCAAAAATTTTTTAATTACCAATTTAATTGAGCTATTTAGCGAAAATGAAGTTAGGTCAAATTGTCTCACTCACATTTATACCTACGCTATATGTGTTGTTTGTGCTGTTGCTGGAATTTGTGGAAGATGCTGTGGCACAAAATCCTGACCCACTTTTCCAGCTACCCGTGCAGTTAGTCGGCTTCCCGGTTATCGTGTTATCAGTGCGCTTATCACAATTCGCTAAGAAGCTGGCTTACTCGTTGAATCCAAGTAAGTGGAGAGATATGAAGGAGATTACATAACAGCGCTATGGAATTTTACAATGGGAAACAAATTTAATTAAATTGTATCCTCATTTTTGTTAGTGAAGATATGTATTTCAGTGGGTATAAGTAACTCGTTGTTGGTTATACACACTTAGTTCAGTGAAATTAAAGTTACTTGAAGTGCACAGTAAATGAAAATAATTGCTCTTTTATTGATAAAAAATTGCAAATTTAAAATTAATGATGCAAGTAGTAAGCTGTCAAGCTTTTGTTTTTATTTTGAGAGAGGCTTCAAACCTAAAGTGGTATTATGACAGCCCGTTACTCGTACAAGTTATTGTATTGAAAACGAAAATCTCCAAAGTTCTGTAAATGGGTTGAATTTGCTTGTAGATACTCAGAAAAAAGTTTACATAACAACCATATCTATTACTGATCATCGCTATTTTCATATGTATGTACATACATTAGGGTGCATCACTCTCTATACAAAAAACAAAAATCGGTATTGTTTTTTCAGCGAAAATATACTACTTAATACATTTTAAGACTTCGGCCAATATATTACGAAAAAGTATTAAGATTTACTAGGTTTACAGTAATCATAAAAAATCTACTTTTTTTTTAAAGAGAGTTACTTCTTAAACATTTTTCTCTAAAAAATCACCCGAGCATAAAAATATTAAAAATTGTATCAATGAAATAAAAAAAAAATCAATTTCTAGATTCTAAATATTATGACGGAAGTCAAAAAATTAAAAACAAATTTATGGGTCTGCTAGAAAAACCCGATTTTATTTTTGGTGGTGCACCCTTATGTACGCACATATTATGTAAGTATATACATATATATGTATGTACATTAGACCGTCCCGAAAAAATGTTCTCCTTACACCCCTGAGTCTAATATATTTTTGCAAGCAATTTTTTTTGCCGAATGTAAGCGCCTTTAAACATTTTTCATTATAATTTCAAAGTATGATTTATAGATACTTTTTTCTCGAGTAGGAAATTTCTGTGCCAAAGTTCATTGAACTCAAGTAACCCGTTCTAGTACTTATCCAGAAGATTCCAGTTCTTATTACCCTAACATACCACCCATATGTTAAATCATTAAGCTTTTGTCAAGGAAGTCTTTCGATTCGAAGGCAATTTGGTTTTTTTTCGAAAATGGGTCTCCATTTTACATTTTTCTTCATATCTTGCACATATACAGTGGGATTTTAAAGCATAACAAATCGTTGTTTTTGTCTCGAGGAGGCATGTTTTTTGTTTCAAATCCATTGACCTCAAGTGACCCGTTCTAATACTTACCCAACAGATCTCAATTCCTACCACCTTTACATACCACCCTAATGTCAGTAAATTGAAGCTTTTGCTACGGAAATATTTTGATTATTCAAATAGAACTATTAAAAAAAAAATGTAGTTTGCCGAATGTAGGTGTCACCGAAAAATATAAAAAGACGACCCCTAGGTTCGGCCAAACTATTTTTTTTTGCTCGTAAGGTGGTACGGTGCCGCAAATTATTTTGTCTAAAAAAACACAAGTTCCGTTTTCGATCTCAAGATTTTAGCTGCTTGATTGAAAGTTTAGTTGAAATTGCAAAAAAAATATCAGTGAAACAGAGCTTTTTAGTAAACCGGTTGGTTGTTTGTTGCTGTTTTTATTATAGTAGCTACTTAACTCTGCTCAGATTAACTACCCAGAAGATAATTTAGGTAAGTCTTCTTAAGTAAAGCCATTCTAAGAGGCTTATCCAAGAAAGGCTAAAAAAGTGCTTACTTGCATGCCTTAANAGAGTTGTGTTATCTGAGTAGCTTCAAAGGGGAAAGTGAAGAGGTGATTACGTAGGTGGGATAGGTATTTGGACAGCGTTGCGATTGCAGACGTACTAATTTAACCTATAACAGTATCCAGACCATAATTGTGCCAGTTTTACGCGGACCTTTCAAGGAAGCTGGCGCTCTTTCTCAGCTACGAGTAGTCGTTGAACTCCGGTAACGGCTTTAAAGCATTTACTGTTTTATTTTATTGTGGCTACCGATAAGTCGGATACCACTGGCCACCATTTTACTCCTGTATTTATACTTAGGTGTCCTAAATAAATTGACTAATAGGCCCTATTTGGCGTGGAAATTAGGCCAAAAAAGCTTTTCCCATAAACTCACGCTACACAGTGAGTAGTAAGCTGGCAATATTTTCCAATATAGTTCAGGATTATTAGCCATGAAATGCCGAACATCTGAGTCATTTCACCAAAAGGTGATATAGGTTCCGCGACACTGCCGCATAGAGGGGAATTGTAATGCCGTTGAACTGGCGCGACTTGGTACTAAACTTTCTATTGAGGATGTATATGGTGAAACAGGAATACCCTTACAAACTTGCAAGCTACATACTTCTGATAGACTTACTAAAGCAGCTAATGGCAGATAGGATAGGAAGCGATCACGTGCAGAACCGCCAAGCAATAATGGCCGCCGCTCAGAGCTAACAGGACACTGCCTAATAGGAAAGCATGCCTATAGACTAGGCGTACGATTACATCACTTCTGTAGAAGTTACCAAGATGAAGGAAAGGAGGAGTGCCCTGCTTTACCCAGAAGAAGACTCCTTACTCTAGGTAGATGATGCTTAGAGAAGCTCAAACTAGTTTTAGGAGGGGTTAGGAGTTGCTGAACCCGCATGCGGTATCAAAATAAACACTGAGCCTAAGTATGTCTTACAGACGACCACGACGACCAGGATTATATTATAATAAACATTCAGGAACCAAAAAACTGTAATACTACATTATTTTATTGTATTTTTACTGTAGGGTTAATATCTTCCTTCGACAGTCGCCGTTATGAGGTTATATCCTCGGAATGCGGGCCCACCCAAATTGGTTTATTTAACCGCTCGTGCGCGGCTCTTGCTCTCTTGACAGGTCTCCGATACTTGAGTAGCGGCTCGTTACGCGCCGTTTAGGTTTGTAACTGTTGATTGTGGAAAGTCCGTGCCGGGCCATTCCATTTTATGAGAAGTGCCGCGTAGGAGCTCCTTTGAAAGTAGTGTTCTTAACTGCCCTAGATACGAAGACCGCTGAAGCTCAGTATAGTATTTCCCTACCCAGAGGGTTCGTACTTGTATATGCTGACGAAGAACGCGTCAGAATTACATATTGCAATTGTACTTAACCATCTCTGTCCTGCAGACCCACGTGAAGCCGTAACTGCAACGTTAAGGCCAGTATGCAGCTCTCAAGAAAAGCAAAAACTCAATATAAAATGGCGTACAAGTAATGGCTAAGAAATTTCCTTGAGTCAAATTTCCTTCAGGCAGTACGCAGTTCTTAAGAAATTTGCTACGCTTTCTGCTACGGTTTTCTAGCCGTTCTTTGGGAGAAAAGAGCACAAGGCATCCAATGATTGCTACAGAAATATATGCCCGTTCCACTATTTCTTGAGGAAAGAGCGAGGCAACAGGGTGGTGAAGTATCAGTTGTCAAAATTGCTTGGTCACACACACGAAATATTGGCAATTTTTTTCTTGACATTTTCTTGAGAACTGCATACCAGCTTTTAATGATTTTCTCTCGGTTTTTGGCGAAGGAGATAAGTATTCCTACAAGTCTAATTTGGGCTCATAATTGTGTAACTGAGCGATACAAGCGAAACCACTTTGAAGTTTTGGTGCTCACACTTAGGCACATAAGTAGGTAGATACTCTTTGCAGCTTTTCAAAAACTACAAATATGCTGGCAACATTGATTTGTCAAAAATTACTACTCTAGCAGTTACCATCAAATAAGATTCGTACAAAGCAAAAAACTAACTGCGAATACTAAAAAATGCTTAAATACATTTTATTCGTACTATGGCATAGTAAATGTCAACAAAATAACAGCAAATTGGTAAACGTGAAGAGCAACATGTGTCAAAGTGTTTGTGTAATTTGACTATTTAATTGCTCAATTATGCCAATTGTTGGTTTTGCTGTAGAAGTCATTACACATATCAACATTTCGAGAGTTGAGTGGATACATTTTTGGTAGGTATACTTAATGAGGTCAAGGCAATGCTCTGGCTCAGTGCATGGCAAGTCAAATGGGTGAGTGACTGCTTGTTTGAAATAGTGGTTTGCGGTTGTAGCATAAGCTGTTTACGTATGCGCAGACACTACGAATGTTTGCTCTGATTTTTAAACTGTAGGCCGTTTTAGACACATGATTATATGTTGACACTCTTAAACGACTAAGTTGGCTATAAAAAAGCGTTAATTTACTCGTAACGGTTTGGCTCATTCAGAAATGGTGTTAAATTTACGCTAAATAATAAACATTGTTATGTACATGTCATCTGACATGAGCTAAAATATTATAAAATATTAAACTTCTAAATGCCTGCTCGCCAGCCCATTACAAAAGTATCTTTTGAGAAAGAAGTCTATTTACGATATAAGGCAATAAAATAGATAAAGAACGACGACCATAGTGACAATAATATCCGTAAAAATATAAATAAATAATAGCATTGATGGAGAAGAAGTTTCGCTTTCAACTCCTAGTTGGCCTTACCTATTCGATGACACCCCCTATGGCTCATCGATAATTATGCTGTGTCTACGGCGATGAGTGCTTATTTGAACACCAATCCTAGAACTGATTTCCTTGGTGTGGTTTCTAAAATTTCGGTGGTTAAGTTGACAAAATTTATAAAAATAAGGCGGACAGACATACTAAGTATTTAATATCATACTAATAATTTACCTTCTAGCATAGAGGCCAACAGAGGCTCGTTGTGATACTATATTGGCCTATATAAAGGAGGCCATGCTCTGAACTTTGCCAAAGCTCTACTTTCCACCCACGAGATCTGTGCAAAGTCTTGAGGTAATGATTTGCAATGCTCGGTAGTAACATAAAGGTGTTGCTCATTTAAAACAAATAAAATAATGAAATAAAATAAAAAGAGCGTCCTAATCTGAAGTCCATTTTTTTGAAAAAAAGAAAAAAATTTGATCAAACATAGTAGAGTGGTGCCAAACTAGAATTTACTGCTCAAAAGAGTTCACCAATACTGATGAGATCTAGGTTTAAAAAATTTGATTTGTTTATATAAATTTTTTTTTAAAGCAAAATGCAGCGAATCTTAGAATTTTGAAGAAAACCGATTATGCTGTAATGCATACACAATTTTTTCTAAATGCAATTATAAAAAATTATATTAAGTTCAACAACAGGGGAAAGATAATCTGTTACCTTCACAATAAGTTCTAGTTCTCTGCACTTTGCACTAAAAAATTTAATATAAACAAATGAAAACTCAAAAACTCTGCTCAACAAATATCTTCAAAATATCATCACTTATAGATTATAAAAACTTAATCAGGTAGGTGTGACAACGAAGGCTCTCAACTATTTTGAACAGTAACTTCTAGTTTTCTACAACTGACCATGTGTTTTTTTTTACATTTTTCGTGATATCCTTGAGCAGGTATTTTTATTATCCCAAATTTCAAGGACCTCATGTACCCCGTTCTAGTACGTACCATAATGTCGCCAAAAATCATTAAACTTTTGCGAAGAAAATATTTTGATCTTACCAATAGAGCTATTTAAAACAAGACGGAAAGTCGTAAGTTCGGGCGGAGAAGAACATTAACTACCCGGCGCAGGTATTAAATATACGATTTTTAGCTTTCCGAAAGCTACCGCTACACGGTAAGCCGGGGTGTATCAATTTTGAGTAAATTAGCGTCCTTAAATTTCGAAAAATTGAAGTTTCAAGCATTTCTGAAATTTACCGTTATATGAAAATTGGCCTCGATTTTAGTCCGATTTCAATAATTTTCAACAGTTTGCTTTTACGTGGCAAGCACAATAGTCATACCGAGTTTGGTACAAATTGGTAGAACGGTNGGGGCGTGGCTATGTCCATTTTCAAAAAAATTATAGTGCTCTTATTTTACGTCTAAAAATTATTGTAAATATTAAGGATCTAATTTTTTGCGAGCTTTAATCATTATTATTTTTTCCATTTCCTTTCCAGACACCTATCGCGCGCGCAGCAAACGTGAGACTGCAGCATATGCCGCTTATGATGCTGAGTTGGCGCAAAAAGAAATTTTACGAGAGTTTGGACCAAGCGCTTGTATATTGGNTGGGCGTGGCTATGCCTATTTTCTAAAAAATTATAGTGCTCTTATTTTACGTCTAAAAATTATTGTAAATATAAAGGATCTACTTTTTACCGAGCTTTAATTATTAATATTTTTTCCACTTCCTTTCCAGACACCTATCGCGCGCGCAGCAAACGTGAGACTGCACCATATGCCGCTTATGATGCTGAGTTGGCGCAAAAAGAAATTTTACGAGAGTTTGGACCAAGCGCTTGTATATTGGAGGAACCTTGTCGTGTGCATGCCTCACGGCCAGGTCGCTTTGGTGCACAACAACATCCAGCGTGGAATGAAATTTTGAGGTAGGTGAATTTTTGAATACTTNCTCACGGCCAGGTCGTTTTGGTGCACAACAACATCCAGCGTGGAATGAAATTTTGAGGTAGGTGAATTTTTGAATACTTAGGGAAGTATGTGCAAAAAAGATAAAATAACAATAACAGTATTTATAAAAGGTCATAGCAACTGGCTATTTTACAAACATTTTTCTTAAAATGCATGCAAAGTTTACTCGCCCTTTTATCCCTTTTCTTTCACTTCCTCATCAGCAACTTTTATTGCGCGTTCTTCGCTTTTTGTTGAAACTCTCAACATCCGCCTCCTTCTTTCTATTTTTTTTTTCATTTAAAGTTTTTACTGAATTTTTTTCTACCTCAACTCTTCCACTTACTCTTTGCCTTAGCAAATTAAGTTTTTCTGCACTTGTCATTTTGTCTAAATGACTCTGTTAGCTCATCGCCATCTGAGTCGAATGCATGTTTTCCAATCAGACACGAAATCAGTTTTTATTTGCGAATTGCTAACTCATCTGTGCATAATTTAATGTCTTGTTCGCAAAACGTAATCGCTTTTGCTACCTTTTTCCTTGCGCTTGCGACATCAACAGCACATGCGTTAGTTGGCAAAAACTGGCAAACAACGCTAACTACAAAGGGAAAGAAAAATATGTATAAGACAGCAGTGAAAAATGCTATAAATTGGCAAAGTGCATGTCATTGCGTCACTAACCAAAATCGGTTATTTCAATTTGTTCAAACTTGATTGAACTACAAATGGTAAGATTTTTCTTACGCCAAATTGGAGTGGCTGTGGCAGAGCACTTGTGCTTGAATGGGCGAAATTAGTGGAAGAAAGTTTATTTAAGAGTTGCCACTTAGATGAAAAATCCTGAAATTAATACGCAATAGGAGTAGTAAAAGTCTTCTAATAACAATCGGGAGGTATTTGGGTAGTAAGAATTTTATTTTCTCTTAAAATAAGGACAAAACGTATTTCAAATCTTTTTATATACTCCTTCACTCTTTAAGACTGAATTATTGAGTTATTTAAGAAAATTAGCATTCAAAAATAGTTCCAATAAAATGGAAAAAATTCAGTTAATAAAAAATAATAATTTTGTTAAATACGTTATTTTTTGGCACTTCTAAATAAAATAAATCCCGAAAGAAGTATTTTATTTTAAGATAGAGGTTAACCTCTGCGTAACGGACCTGGGTCTGAAACTCTCATTTCGAACGGTCTTTGGAATGGCAAAATTATGATTTTCTATGCAACCATGCGCCATTTCATTCTCATAACGCTTAATGCCTAGAGAAAGGAGTAAAAGGATAAGGAAAACAGATGGGCGTAGGAAACGAGGACCTCATTTTCGTTGTTGGGTTTTCCGACGGGGTAGGAGATGTACATATTGTGGAACGATTTTCCGTCATCGCTTGTCAAATTTGATCATCCCTTGTTTTCACTGACGGGTTGACGGAAGATCTTTCCACAATACATTGCATTCGAAACTCATTTATGAACCTTAATAATTTGGAGAGGCACAGAGAATATAGCTCATCCATGCAACATCTCAGTCTGACGCAGCTGGCNTTCACGGCCAGGTCGCTTTGGTGCACAACAGCATCCAGCGTGGAATGAAATTTTGAGGTAGGTGAATTCTTGAATACTTATGGAAGTATTTGCGAAAACGATAAAATAACAATTAAAATATTTATAAAAGTGATAGCAACTGGGTATTTTACAAACATTTTTCTTAAAATGCATGCAATCCCCTTTCCCTTTTCTTTCACTTCCTCATCAGCAACTTTTATTGCGCGTTCTTCG